ATCCAGTTGAATCCTTCATTGGTGATTTAGAAGAATCTTTTAAATTATTTAAGTTATCGGAATTACAGAAAATTGTGTTTGCTAAAAAATTGCTTACTGGTTCTGCTAAAGTGTATTTATTCAGGTCTTTGAAAATGGTATAATATCATGGGAAAAAATTAAAAGAAAATCTTTTATCTGAATTTGGTTCTAAAATAAACAGTGCACAACTTCATAATTTGTTACAGAAACGACACTTAAAACCTGGTGAATCACTTTCCGAATATTTAATTGCCATGCGTGAAATAGCGCGCGAAAGTCGCAGTTCTGTTGATGATTCATCAATTCTTGATTATGTAATCAATGGGATACCAGATCAGAGTAGTAACAAAATTGTTTTGTACGGTTGTAAAACTATTTCTGAATTCAAAGAGAAATTAAAAATTTATGAGAAAATTCGCGTTCCAGATACGAAGAATAAGGGTTATTCAAGTACTAACACACAAAATAAAACACGCGCTGTACCTAGTAAGATTAAAGAGCCAAGGTGTTATAATTGCGGAAGTTTAGGTCATAAGTCTAATTTTTGTAACAATAAGAGTAAAGGATTTAAGTGTTTTAAATGCAATTTGTTCGGACACAAGGCCATAGATTGTTCGAAAACATCATCTAAAAATATCCAAGATGCCAAAGCTGTTCCGATAACTCAGACTTGTCAGAAAGAAATGCATAAAATTGTTAATTTGGGTAATTTTCAAATTGATGCTTTAATAGATACTGGTAGTCAGGTAACGTTAATCCGAGAAGATATACATAAGAAGATAGGTTCTCCTGAACTTAAGTCGGCAGATCTACAGTTAACGGGGTTTGCTAATGGAAAAATTAAGCCTATAGGAAGATTTGAAGGTGAATTCGAAATTGATGGTTCTTCATTTCGATCAAATATTTGTGTTATCGCAGAAAACGAAATGTTTTTACAAGCGATCATTGGTACTGATATTATAAGGCAAGGGGAATTAACTGTAAATAAAAAAGGAGTCGAAATTAGAAAATTGCAACCTGAAAACTATTTGATGTGCATTCGTGATATTTATAATGACGAGGAAATTGATTTAAGCCATATCAAAGACGGAGTACATAGAAATGAAATACTACACTTGGTAAGGAATTATGAGCCGAATAAAATAAAAACATCAGGCCTGAAGATGCGAATAGTGCTGACAGATCGGCTTCCAGTTTATTGCTCGCTGCGACGCTTTCCCCCAGCTGAGCAGCGTGAAATTGATAAACAGATTTCGGAGTGGTTGGAGAGACAAATCATTAAACAAAGCTGTTCTGATTACGCAAGTAATATCCTGTTAAGTAGGAAAAAATGTGGCTCATGGAGACTTTGTGTGGATTATCAGCGCCTGAATAAAAAAATAATTCGCGATCGCTTTCCTCTGCCATTAATTGATGATGTTATTGATAAATTACAAGCAGCAATGGTATTTACTAACACTAGATTTAAAAAACGGATTTTTTTTCATGTTGAAGTGGACGAAGAAAGTAGAAAAATACACATCTTTCGTGACACAAAACGGACAGTATGAATTTCTGAGGGTTCGATTCGGTCTTGCCAACAGCTTAAGTGTTTTCCAAAGATACATCTACGATATATTTCGTGATCTTTTAAAGGAGAATATTGTTGTAATCTATATGGACGACATCATTATTCCTTCCGAAAATGAAGCTCAGGGAATTCAAAAATTGAAACGCATATTACAGACTGCATCGGAATATGGACTAGAACTAAACATTAAGAAATGTCAATTTTTGAAGCGCGAAATCGAATTTTCAGGACACAAAATTAAAGATGGGAAATTATATCCCTCTTCTTCTAAAACGAAAGCAGTAATTAACTTTCCAGAACCTAGATGTTTAAAAGATGTTCAAAGTTATTTAGGTTTAACTGGTTACTTCAGAAAATTTATACCTAATTATTCATTAATTGCAAAACCGCTTAGTGATTTACTGAAGAAAGATTCTAAATTTAAATTCGAAACTAAAGAACTTTATGCGTTTAACGAATTGAAACGCATATTGACATCAGAACCTGTTTTGTGTATTTATAATCCGAAAGCAGAAACCGAAATACACACTGATGCTAGTGCTGACGGTTATGGTGCGGTTCTGTTACAGAAATCCTTAATTGATAATCAGGTGCATCCGGTTTATTATATGAGTAGGAAAACGACAGACATTGAACGTAAATATTCGAGCTACGAATTAGAGGTTAAAGCAGTAGTAGAAGCTCTTAAAAAATTCAGGGTGTACGTATTAGGCATACCATTTAAAATCGTGACAGATTGTAATGCATTCAAACAAACTATGAGCAAGAAAGACATTTGTACTAAAATATCTAGATGGGCATTAATGTTACAAGATTATGATTACACAATCGAACACAGATCTGGCACCCGTATGGGACATGTGGATGCTCTTAGTCGAAAATCCTGTATGTATTGTAATTCAAGATGGTATAACATTTAAAATAATTCAAGCTCAAGAAACTGACGAAAATATAAAAGTTATAAAAGAAAGTTTTGAAGTCTAAGCCATATGAAGATTATTGTTTGCGGAATGACGTGCTTTTACAAAATGGTGAATGGAATTGAAGCACTAGTAGTACCTGAGATTATGCAAATTGAAGTAATTAAAGACGCACATGAACGAGGTCATTTTGCTGCCAAACGTACTGAAGAACATGTGAGACAACATTTTTATATCCCTAAATTGAAAGAGAAAATTGAAAAATGTATCGCAAATTGTATTACCTGTATACTGGCCAACCGGAAATCTGGAAAGAAGGAATGATTATTACATCCTTTACCTAAAGAAGATATTCCTCTAAACACTTACCACATAGACCATTTAGGACCTTTGGAGAGTTCTAACAAGAATTATAAATACATTTTCGCGGTTATTGATTCGTTTACAAAATTTGTTTGGTTACATCCAACTAAAACCATCTCTAGTAAAGAAGTAATAGCTAACCTTGAAATTCAAAATCATTATTTGGAAATCCCTGCAATATAGTAGCTGACAGAGGTACTGCATTTACTTCTCAAGAATTTGCTGATTATTGTACTAAGGAAAATATTCATCTATCCTTAATCACAACAGGATTACCAAGAGCTAATGGACAAGTAGAGCGGTTGAATTCCATTATCATATCAGGTCATTTCTAAGTTGGCTATAGATGACCCTACGAAATGGTACAAACACGTAAGTGATGTCCAACAAATAATTAATTCGACTTTTCAGAGGAGTATCAATTCGACAACTTTCGAGCCTTTTGTTTGGTACGAAGATAAAGACGAATAAGGACAGGAAGATTAAAGAACTGATAGAAGCTGGAAATTCCAGAGGGACTTTATCGGAGTCTAGAGAAAATCTACGTAAAGAGGCGAAAGAGCAGATTCGGAAGATCCAGGAAGAGAATCGAAAGAACTTACAATCGAAGTCGAAAACTTCCCTCGTAATATACAAGATCAATGATATGGTAGCTATTAAACGCACTCAACTAGGGCCAGGTATAAAGTTAAATCCAAGTTTTTAGGTCCATACAAAATCACCAAGGTGAAACCTAATGACACAAACAACGTGGAGAAGGTTGGTTTTACCGAAGGACCTTTCAAGACTAGTACCTGTGCTGAATACCTGAAACCATGGACAGACAATCTTTGATAATGAAATACCAATTTTGATGATTCCTGATTTAGACGTTTTTCCCGACTAGACAAATTTCTCCCGATTTGACTATGGACTATTATTTTAAAGACGTGAACTAATTTAAGAAGACTGAAGATGATGTCTAAGGATGAAATGTATGAAGAAATACGGCTTAAAGAAGATGATTTTGAGAAGACGCATTCGAATGACGGATCTTGAAGATATCTAAGACGCATTCAGAAGATGTATCCAGACGGTATCTAAGAAGACGCATTCAGAAGACGTATCCATATGATGTTTAAGAAGACGGAAATACGAAGACGAATCTAGATGAATTGTTCCAGGCAACATCAAAGGAAGACGTGTTTGTAAAATACATGTATTCAGATAGACTGTTAAAGATGAACGAACACTGAAAGAGCTTTGAAGAAGAGATAAATATTATTTCTGAGGATGTTAAGAGGATGAGAAAAGATGGCTGAAATAGACATTTAAGACGACTTTTCCATCAATAGTAACTAAAAATCCCCCTTTTTTTTGTTTTTTTAATTTTATTTTTCAGATCCCTAGATGTAGACAGTGGTGCTGCGGGAATGCGAGGCCGCATTCCATCAGGATGGACGAGCAGTTGTGGGTTGGCATCGTTCATATATAATCGGATGACGCGGCAAGCTGTGAGGGGAAATCTTTCACTTGGCCGATGACGCAGGCAGGCAGGCGATTCCGCCATGAAGACGATGACGCGATTCAAAGATGTTTGCTTGTGAAATACGATTCCTTCTCTTCGTTTGTAAATAATCTCATCTATTTCCTTCTATGTATGTAATTACTTTCTAGTTTGTAGCAACTATTCATGTTTCATTAAATATTCAAGTTATTTGTAAATTGGACTAGTTTATTAGCCCCTAGACAGCCACATCGGAAGTAAGTTTACGAACATCATATTCCTAGACAGTAAACACCGATTCTACAGAAATTTGGCAGAAGGCATCAATTTTCAAAAAATAATACAGAGAAAATAAAGCACTTAAAATAGAAATAATATATCTAGTAAAATTAAATTATGTTTTTTAATATATATTTATAAAGAGGTTAAATTACATTAAGCTGTAAAAACTCAAGGGATGAAATATAAAACTTTCTGTTCAGAACCTCAACAGGGTACATTTTCCATACATAATGAAGGAATTATTATGTAAATATCTTGGGGCTTAACTGAGGAAAGAAACATGACAGAATGATTTTCAAGCATGCAAAAAGCTCCAAGAACTAAATTTATCAGTTTCAAAACAGTTGTGCATATTTACCAATAAATGTCAGATCTCTAGAGCTGTCAGTTTGTCCAGCAGTAAAATATTGGCCATGTCGTATAAGGAATATATTATTACACACAGTATGGTCTGTAAAAGATTTTTCCGGTAGGCTTTTTCTGGGGGTAGAAATTAAAATTTACATCAAAAAAGGGATGTTTTAAATATGCATCTAAAAACATATAATGTGTAAAATAAAATGAAAAAAAATATATTATCTACACTAACATTGCTGTACTTGGAAATATGCATCTAAATACACATCACGTGAACAATAAAATGTAAAAATATATTATCTCCACTAATGTTATTTTACTTGGAAATAACTAGCATATGTCTCAGCCGCATCTACCAAATAAATGATTTTCAATTATTCCTGTGAGCAAAATCATGACTTACAGCATGGGTGTCTAAACTATGACCATTTGAGGGACATATTGCAAAGAAAAAAAAAAAAAATTAACCAAACATACAATATTTTTGAACAAATTGAATAAAAATAAGCTCTAAGTTGTTTTATTACAATAAACTGACTTCTTTTCATTATTCATTTTTTAAAATTTGAATTACATATGTATGGTACATATTTATTATTAATTTGTAAAAATTTTGTTTTATTTAGTTTGGATTTCATAAGGATGGAAAAAATTCAAATTAATGAGATGGATGAATTTGCTTTTGTTGAACAAGCAAATCGATATCGGGTTCAATAGATGAGGTTGCAATTGTTAATACATTTCCAAGACGTTTGTCAGTGATCTTTGTCCTATTTTTGTTTTTGTATGCTTCATTCTTGAAAATAATTGTTCACAAATATAGGTACTGCCAAAAGCTGAAGACATTAATAAAGCATGATTGTGGAAATTAGGTTATTTATCGCTAGTTAGGTAATCTTTATAAAACTCCAGTAAAAAAACATTTTCAAATTTTTCTTCCAGTTGAATTAAAATTTTTATTGTAAAATGCCAACGAATTGATTATATATGAATCAAATTCAAATTTAATGTAATTTCTGTAAATTTAAATACTTTCATAATTTGCATTTGGGCCACACTTTAGACACCCATGACTTACAGCAGTTTTGCCTGTATCTCACACAGGTAACACTTTTTGTGTGCAGCATGATTTATGCATGTGTGGTTCAGGAAAATTTAAGCTTTGAAGAAAATTACCACACTTTTATTAGCACATTAAAAAAATAATAATTGAGCTTTCAAGTTTTATTTTATGAAGTTAACATTCTTAAATTTCTGTGTGAACCAAAAATAGATGATTCTAACAATAGTTGCAGTGACTGAAAAAGAAACAAGATATTATTGGCAAGACTGTAATGTGGAACTTTGTATTCCACCCAGTTCTAAAATATATCGTGCCAAATTGAAGTATTAATTTGTATCTAGAAATTTCAAGATGTGCAATAAATATAAAATGTCAAGTCATAGAAAATAAGTTTACTACAACAAACCCTTGCTGAAGATCGAGGTTGCGTCATTACCACATTGTGCACATGGTAAAACAGCATTCTGCAAAGTTAAGGGAAATTAAACAAATTTTGAAAGAACTTCTACGACTGCTTATTAAGTAGCTATGTTACAATTTTTAAATAGCAGATGATTTTTGCTTGGAACAAAATTTGATGTAAGTCATTAAATGTTTTCCTGTAACGAGTACAAAGTTTTTCAATGCTTCTCATAAAATGTCTTCTTTCTTCACTTGGGTCAATTCTCCATTAAAATTCAGTTTCTGTACCTTTTAAAAAAATAAATTAATTAATTTCTTGTATGTTGAATGCACTTTATCTTCTTCACTATCACTGCTTTTACTGATGGCTGGTGTAACAAGATCATCCAACTCTCCATTTATCATTTCAAATTCGTCATTCTAGATTTCTCTTTCTTCCATGCCTCAAAATCCTTTGCCGCCTATTACTTTCACAATTTTCTTGAGTTCACTTTCAAAACCCTTTGAAATTGTTGACAATTTCTGGCTAGAGCTGATGCCAATAACCATTTATGGTAGATGAATTCACTTGTTCCCATGCAAGCTTCATTATTTTTATACAATGTCTTATGTTAAAATGCTTCCAAAATGCCATTAGTGGGTCATGCTTTTTTTGCCTAGTGCTTTATTTGCAGAGATGTAAACATGCCTGACATAATAATATTTGGATGCTTTTATGATTTCCTGATGCACTGGTTGGATTATGAATGTGATGTTCGATAGAAGGAATAAAACCTCTACTTTTGAATGCAGTGCTGTGAATTGTTCTGGACTGTGTCCTGCAGCATTATCGGGAATTATGATACCTTTAAAGCTCAGGTTTTGTTGTTCTATGTAATGTTTGACTTCTTTAATGGATGAACTTTCAAATCAGTCATTAAAGAGAGCTTTCGTTACTCAACTTTTCTATTCCACTTTCACACAACTGGAAACTGCTCAAATTTTTTCCTCCCTTACAATGCATAAGACATTTTAGAATGATAAATGAACAGAGGCTTGTGAGTGAAGTTGCTGGATTGATCCCCCCCCAAAAAAAAAAGCAAAGTGAAAAGCTTTAAAACTTGGGAAAACCTTTTGTATCTTTGTGATGTAGGTTTGTTGTCCCATTCACTTATAGGTTCATTTCATTCTCACTGAAAACTTGATAACTTGTGTCCTTTATTTTCAGCCTGAACTGAGGTTTGAATTTCTCTTTGAATTGATCAAGTTAAAATGATGTTTAAAGTTCTAAAGAAAACCTTTGGTTGCTTGAGAGTTGATTTTTCTCTGAAGATTGGCCATATTTATTTAAAACAAAAGAAAATATCTAAGGCTTCATTTAAAATAGCAGCACCAACTACAACTGAAACTTCTTCCTTTACTTGATTCTCAGTCCAAGCTATCAACACTCTTTTTCAAAATAAAGTCTTTTTGAAACTTAAGTAACCTTTGCCACAGCTTTGACACTAGACTGAGTCTTTTCTTCATTCTCCCATATTGTTCTTGATTTGTTTATATCTAGTTCTTTTGCAAATGATGAAACATATGAACCATTTTTCAATTTACCTAAAATTCTAATTTTTTGAGATAATGTCAGAACTTTGCATTTCTTGTTTTGCTTTATCATACTTCCTTTTAGATGCCATAATAAATTTTTTAATTAAAAGACATACATATGCAAAATGAGAAAAGGATAAACACAAATACTTGATTACAGCTCTGATAACATGAGTGCAATGACAGTAACTCGGTTTGGGTGATTCAGCTAGCTCGCAATGCCAAGCAGAGTTAGCATATACACACTTGGGTTTTCTATTGTGAAGAGCAAGGTCAGTAGAGAAATAAAGTTACGTTCTTTCCAACAATTGAGTTTCATAAACTAACTTACAGAAACGGCAGAATTAAAAACACAGAAGGAATAGTTGCTTTTGAGTGAACTTCATTTTTGAGTCATTGGTGTCATATGTTAAAAGATTTCTCATTGGAAGAGTAAAACTGTATGAATGTAATGTTGTATTAAGTCTAGTAAAAAATACGCTGTTACTGCAATGCAGCTGATTTCCTGTAGTATATTATGTATAATTTAAATTGTCACGTTGGACAAATTAGAGGGAGATGATTAAGAAGATATGTATATGCTAAATTGTATTCTGGAAGGTATTCATATCAGCTTGTATGAAAATAATCTTTATAATACTGTTTATATGTACTTAATTTTGGGTCAACAGATGACTTTTTATACATATTTTGCCGATTTCAAGAAAATTCCATTTTTCTTACAATTTGGCAATAAAAAATAAACACATTTCGGGGACCTATTTTTTAAAATTTTAGTGGTCTTTCTTGAAGTCCTAAGTGGTTAAAATGTTATGTGATTAATGCTAGGTATCAGAACTTTATACAGGTTATAGTTAGTGAATTTAGAATGACATTACAACATTAAAGATTCTGCAGAAAGAAATTCAGTTCTGTATGACTGGAATGGTAAAAGAGCAGGAACATCAACACAACAAAGTACACATTGTATGACAAAGAATTGTAATGCATGAACTCATGGACAATGTTGATGATAATGGCAAAGAGAAGCAACAGCTCAAAGAGGTGCATTCAAGTAAAAGAAGACACATTTGCTAATGAACCATATGGGAAGTATTTCAAATACATCTAATGATTGTTTGTAACCATGTCAGCTCATATGATTCAACATCCACAGCATTAAGAGGTCTTAACCCTTTGACGCGTGGTGGTCGCACTTTGAAACCACCAACTTTCGAATTTTTTGAGTGAAAATCAATTGATTACTGATCTTCTGACTCTAAATAACACAAAATGATTACAGAATCATACATGCTTTAGGTCTTAGTACTTCTAATCAGATGCCTTTTAAAATTCGTTTTCAATGAGACAAAGTAACTTCCTTTTATTAATATAAACAACTTTAAATTTCAAAAGTTATTCATCGCACATCATGATTTCTATCATAAACAATAAAAAATAGAAATAATTAAACTGCATATATAAAAAAACCCTCTATATGTATGGCATTTGCTTTGTGGTTTCAGGGCACGACCACTGCCCCACTAGAACATTGTGTCACAATGCTCGGTGGTCACGCCTTAAAACCACTGCTCTTCACAATAGCGTTTGCTTGCTTCTCAAATAGGAATGTTTATTTTTACCTGAGTATAGATAAGGGGTTTTGAAATCACAGAGTTATTTTATTGCTAAACAATACATGCACCTGCCCAGTAAAAAAGTCTTTCTTTTCCAGAGACTGTTCTCTGACCTCAACACACTTGCTCCCCAAGCTAGTATTGTGATTTTATAAATTATTTCCTGTGGTTTAAGTTTAATGTAAATATACTTTGCTGTAATTAAAATTAGAAATCGTGTAAAGTTTTATTTAAATTAAATCTTTTGAGACGAAATACAAATAAAATAAGTATGAATGGGAAACGAATGATCCGTACCAAAGCCAAAAAGACGAAGCCCCCCCCCCCACATTGACATAAAAAAAACCACAAATTTCACGTGCCTGATGAAGATAAACTAAATAACGCTGGACATATACCAGTGAAATTTCGATCCAATCAGTGTACATTTTGTAGCACAAGGAAGAAAGATCATAGAATAAGCCACA